CATACATGACATGTACAACGATTTCACACTTGATAATGGTAATGTTAATTGGACTGAATCTTTAAACTTGACTGCCTTTCTGTTTTCTGCCAGTGGTAATAGAAATTGATTCAATTTTCTAATAAACTTTACAAGTGGAGAACCTTGGCAGAATCCTTTTTGAGAAGATGTGAAAAAGCAGTCAACTGACATTTTAATGTCTTAATTTTTACTTCACTGATGTTTATCTGCAAGTGGAAAAAGTCAAATGTGAGTAATATTGAGGAGGCTGCATCTTGAATGAAATTGAATTCTCTAACAATTTAAGAGCTTTAAGTAGTCAATCTTGTCGTATCTTGGCAAATTTTATGGCTTAAGTGATTTTTTAAAAAAAGTTAAATGATTCAATAGGCCTATGTAAAGTGACTGGAAAGTTTATATACAATCTTTTGATAGAGTGTAAAGAAAAACTTCCACATGATTGTATGTAAATGGTACGTTTAGTCTTTTGATTGAGTATCATTTCATAAGCCAAGTTCATATATAACAATGAATGGAGTTTTACGTCCTACTTTTCTGCACTATGTGGTCTAATAAAGACGAGGCAGGGTGCAATGAGGCAAATTTTGCCAAGACAGCGGCATAAGCCTGCTCTTTTCAATTTCCAACTGTCAAGGGGTCTTTAACCTGCACAGTCTGTAGCACACGGAGCCTCGGTTAATTGTCCCATTCGAACGATTAGAGGATTGAACCCTGGACCTTCATGTTAATGAGCAAGTGTCTAACTCACTGAGTCACCACGGCTCCTTCAAGCCGTTACTAGTGTTGACAGTTCACTTCTATGGCTCACATACATTATATAAACAGCTTCAGAGCTTGCTGATTACATTCAGTAACTCAGCATAGTTGTTATTATATTTTGTAATTACCTCTCTTTAACAAACAAACAAATTGAATAATGGCGAAATATGGATGAAAGTATTATTTCTCTCAAAGTTGAGACCATCTTGTACCCTTTGTCTTGTCAACTGTGTGGATATTAGAATACTGACGGTGGTGTTCACTCATATTCAGTTTGTGTTCAATCGTATAGGATTTAAAAGCTTGGTGCATCATGAGAATAATTGCCGTGGAATCGAAAACTTCAAAGAATTATGATCCTTGCGTGAGTTGTATTCGTGGATTATAGACAAAGGATATTCTGTTTGGTAGTAATTAAGAGAGTGGTGTTGAATAGAGGTAAATTTGGTTGAAAATTGCATGGGATGTATTTTTGGTGGTCGATCATTAAAGGGTAGTGCTGAATACATGTGACCGTTGGACTAAGTTAGACTGTACTTGTTAGCAATGTTCAGTTCTAGATTGGACACCATATTTGATCACTAAATACCATGCGTGTCTTAACCATTGGACATCTTGCTTCTTACCCCTAGCTCTTTTTGAGTATTTTTCATTTTCACAAATTCAATTTGTTTCATTTTCCTAAACTCATAAAGATTGATATGGAAATTATATGTTCTTTGAATGGTTAAATTACAGCTAAGTATTGATATAAATATTGCACAAAAATCATACTGCACATTATTGTGTATTTGAATTCCTTATTCAGTACAAAATGTATAAATCCTCCAGGAACGTGCTCACGCTCGTTGAAAGGGTGAAGGTCATAGAAATGGCCAAGACAGGTTAGTTTCGTACAATTTTTATCTCATCTTTAAATCAATACAGGAATTTAAAGAAATATTAATGATTATGAAAATAGGACTAGTTTAAATCAAATAATAATTTATGTCTGGTAATATATTTTGTGTCCATTTGTAATTGTAGAGCGTAGCACTCGTAATATTGCCGAGTCAATTGGTGTTGGTTTCAACAGATATTGAAACGAAAAGCCGAAGTTATGAAAGAGTACTAGAGTAACGGTAACCCGTAAATGCGATTATGATTATTACGGGAAAAATTAGCAACAAGAAAATCAAAAGTGTAAAACAGACATGTATAAAAGATTATTTTAATGTTGAACATCGTTAATTCCATTTGTATCGTTATACATGTATTGTTATTGTTATTATTAAATGTTATCTCAAAATATCAACTTGTCATTCTTAGCTGGGTAAACCATTCCTCTATTAAGCACCACACCTTAGTAAGCAGCCACTTTTGAGCATTCCCTTGACTGGCTGCTTAATACAAGTTAGACTGTATGCTGTTCATTATGTTGTTCATTATAGAACTGACCATATATAACTAGTGCTAACAAGTATGTTGTTCATTATAGAAATGACCATATATAACTAGTGCTAACAAGTATGTTGTTCATTATAGAAATGACCATATATAACTAGTGCTAACAAGTATGTTGTTCAGCTAACAAGTATGTTGTTCATTATAGAAATGACCATATATAACTAGTGCTAACAAGTATGTTGTTCATTATAGAAATGACCATATAGAACTAGTGCTAACATGTATGTTGTTCATAATAGAAATGACCATATATAACTAGTACTAACAAGTATGTTGTTCATTATAGAAATGACCATATAGAACTAGTGCTAACATGTATGTTGTTCATAATAGAAATGACCATATATAACTAGTGCTAACAAGTATGTTGTTCATTATAGAAATGACCATATATAACTAGTGCTAACAAGTATGTTGTTCATTATAGAAATGACCATATATAACTAGTGCTAACAAGTATGTTGTTCAGCTAACAAGTATGATGTTCATTTTAGAAATGACCATATATAACTAGTGCTAACATGTATGTTGTTTATAATAGAAATGACCATATATAACTAGTGCTAACAAGTATGTTGTTCATTATAGAAATGACCATATATAACTAGTGCTAACAAGTATGTTGTTCATTATAGAAATGACCATATATAACTAGTACTAACAAGTATGTTGTTCATTATAGAAATGACCATATAGAACTAGTGCTAACAAGTATGTTGTTCATTTTAGAAATGACCATATATAACTAGTGCTAACAAGTATGTTGTTCATTTTAGAAATGACCATATATAACTAGTGCTAACAAGTATGTTGTTCATTTTAGAAATGACCATATATAACTAGTGCTAACAAGTATGTTGTTCCTTATAGAAATGACCATATATAACTAGTGCTAACAAGTATGTTGTTCATAATAGAAATGACCATATATAACTAGTGCTAACAAGTATGTTGTTCATTATAGAAATGACCATATATAACTAGTGCTAACAAGTATGTTGTTCAGCTAACAAGTATGTTGTTCATTTTAGAAATGACCATATATAACTAGTGCTAACAAGTATGTTGTTCATTATAGAAATGACCATATATAACTAGTGCTAACAAGTATGTTGTTCATAATAGAAATGACCATATATAACTAGTGCTAACAAGTATGTTGTTCATTATAGAAATGACCATATATAACTAGTGCTAACAAGTATGTTGTTCAGCTAACAAGTATGTTGTTCATTTTAGAAATGACCATATATAACTAGTGCTGACAAGTATGTTGTTCATTTTAGAAATGACTAATATAACTAGTGCTAACAAGTATGTTGTTCCTTATAGAAATGACCATATATAACTAGTGCTAACAAGTATGTTGTTCATTATAGAAATGACCATATATAACTAGTGCTAATAAGTATGTTGTTCAGCTAACAAGTATGTTGTTCATTATAGAAATGACCATATATAACTAGTGCTAACAAGTATGTTGTTCATTATAGAAATGACCATATAGAACTAGTGCTAACAAGTATGTTGTTCATTTTAGAAATGACCATATATAACTAGTGCTAACAAGTATGTTGTTCCTTATAGAAATGACCATATAGAACTAGTACTAACAAGTATGTTGTTCATTATAGAAATGACCATATATAACTAGTGCTAACAAGTATGTTGTTCATTATAGAAATGACCATATATAACTAGTGCTAACAAGTATGTTGTTCATTTTAGAAATGACCATATATAACTAGTGCTAACAAGTATGTTGTTCCTTATAGAAATGACCATATATAACTAGTGCTAACAAGTATGTTGTTCATAATAGAAATGACCATATATAACTAGTGCTAACAAGTATGTTGTTCATTATAGAAATGACCATATATAACTAGTGCTAACAAGTATGTTGTTCAGCTAACAAGTATGTTGTTCATTTTAGAAATGACCATATATAACTAGTGCTAACAAGTATGTTGTTCCTTATAGAAATGACCATATATAACTAGTGCTAACAAGTATGTTGTTCATAATAGAAATGACCATATATAGCTAGTGCTAACAAGTATGTTGTTCATTATAGAAATGACCATATATAACTAGTGCTAACAAGTATGTTGTTCATTATAGAAATGACCATATATAACTAGTGCTAACAAGTATGTTGTTCATTATAGAAATGACCATATATAACTAGTGCTAACAAGTATGTTGTTCATTATAGAAATGACCATATATAACTAGTGCTAACAAGTATGTTGTTCATTATAGAAATGACCATATATAACTAGTGCTAATAAGTATGTTGTTCAGCTAACAAGTATGATGTTCATTTTAGAAATGACCATATATAACTAGTGCTAACATGTATGTTGTTTATAATAGAAATGACCATATATAACTAGTGCTAACAAGTATGTTGTTCATTATAGAAATGACCATATATAACTAGTGCTAACAAGTTTGTTGTCCAATCTAGAAATACCCTTGTGTAACTTGTATTTTAGAATCAACAGAAATATCAGATTTTTGTTCAACAGATCTTAGATTAATTGAAAAAACTATCTGTTAATTTCTTTCTTAGATATTCAGATACTAAGTAACATTTTCAAATCATTAATGATAACCTTTAAATTTTACTTTTCCTCAAACTTACCAGATTTGTTGAGAAACAGATACAAAAATGCATTATATTCCTAACATTATTGTAACAACAAAATGATACCTCCCTGCTGAAACAAAATTTCAATATAATATTTTAATAAATCAAAATTGATAGAATGTCAGGAAAATATTTATTGATAATGAACCTTAATTTAAGGTGTAATTTTGAATATAAGCAGACAAATTATCCTATGTTACTTATTAAAACTGTGTCTGTAAGTGATTGCAGCTATATTGTTAATAACATTATTTATAATAATTGTCTACTGGTATCATGCAGTGTTTCCAAATGAATGTCTGACACTTTGTTTTCTTGAGAATAAGAGCCATTTGAACAAATTTCTGATTTTTTTGTTTATGCAAATCCTGTTAAAAAGATATGTGGTTTATCATATGATTTCACTGCACTACCCATCTATAGATATGTAATATCACTGAGGTCAATATGTAATTGATAATTTATTAAACTATTGTTTAGACAGAGGCATACAATGCTTTTAGTTTCTGGTTTCATAGATCTTCTTAAGTGGCGAAATAAATTATAAAAAAAATTAATTGAATTACAGATTTGTCGACCTAATATTGTGGAGAGAAAGGAACATCATTTTCATTGATTCATTGAAAAACTCAAAGAAAATTGAATTATATTCTGGAAGATTTATAATGGAAATTTCTGTAATCTAGAAGTTTTTGAAGAATATTTTTATGAAAAATGTGACAAATTGAATTATGACAAATTTGTGAAAATGACAGTTATTAATGTTTGAGTATTACATGAAGATAGAGAGTTATGTGTATGTCTTCTGATTCTGAATATTACCCGTGTAAAAAAGAAAGATTCATTTCTACGGTTTACATGTGTTTGTTTCATGGATATAAATGAAATACAATGGTTGTTTATTTTGAATATTAAATTTATTTTGATTGAGATATTTATTTTTGTAATAATGTGTATAATCTGATTAGTCTTTTTTTTGCATAGTTACCAATGTACAAATGGTCATTTAGCAAATTCATTGACTACGCTTTAAGACTCTGAAATACTAGACAAAATTACATACTTGAATCCAAAACCATTATGAGGTGTTGTTATGTGTTATTTTGATGTTTTATGTTATCTATTTATAGAATTGTGGAGATGTTTCACCTACCACATTGTCACCAGAAGTATCACCAAGTAATTCTTGTGATGAAGGAGAGGGTGCAACGTAAGTCCAAGCTCATGTTCCTTTATTATACAGACTCAGATCAATCTCTTGGTTATCTAACCAAAACATGTGTGTAACACTTTTGTACATGCAAGTTCAAGGGGCAAATGTCTGGTAGGGATATTGTTAATCAACATCCCTGGTGAAGATTTATTGTAAGGATTGATGATACTATAGTAATAGTCATAATTCGTATTTGTTATTACAAACCTGTGATCTGAGACTATGACGTCAGTTGTCCTGTGGTTTATCAAACTGTTACTTTGTCACTGATATATCTTTATAATTCCCTAGCCATTCTAGAGACTAGCTGTAAATTTTATGTATCAGCCTCTCAGCTGGAATCGGCTAAGCTTAATTGACTAATTAATGTTAAGCAAGTATAGGTAGGAAAGAAAATGGACATTTTATCGTGTGTTCGGAAATTGAATTAGATGTTTCTATTAGTTCTGGCTGATACATTTGGTAGCTCTTTAGAAAAGGAGGATGCTTTTACCATCGTGACTTTGAAAGGAAAACAACTTCCAAAAATGAAAGAAAACCTTTGATTATGCCTATGTATGCATTCTGGGTGAGTTTACTTGAAGATGCTATGTTTGCATATATCATATGTTGACAGAAGAACAAAATGTTTTGTAGTAATATCGCAGGTCGTCTGCGTAGAAGAAGAAGTTCGGTGGACCTCAATATGAATATTTATCCAGGAGATTTATTAGTTCAGGAACATCATAAAAAGTTAATTAAAAGAAATACTATTGCTGATTTCTATGCAGCTAGAAATGGAACTGGTTCTAGTCCAGAAGGTAAGATAAATTATGTACATATCACATCACCTGTTTCGCTTACACCTGATTATTTGTACAGTATAGTAAATATATGTAGCAGAACCTTTTTATACGCCCACATGAAATGGGGGGCGTATATTGCCATCACCCATGTCCGTCTGTCCATCCGTCCACAATTGCTCGTAAACACTCTACAAGACACAATTCTTGATGGATTTTGACAAAACTTGGTATGAATGTTCATAATCACCCAAGGATGAACCCTTTTGAAAATCTTATTATAAGTTATTGCCCTTGTTTTTGAAAACGTGTTCAATTTTCTGCTCATAAACACTCTAGAAGGGACAATTCTTGATGGATTGTGACGAAACTTGGCAAGACTGTTTGTTATCGACCAAGGATAAACCCTATTGAAAATCAGAAAAATTGAAAAATATTTAGTATGAGTTATTGCCCTTGTTTTTGAAAAAGCGTTCAATTTTTAGCTCGTAAACACTCTAGAAGGCACAATTCTTGATGGATTTTGACAAAACTTGGTGTGAGTGAAAATCAGAAGAATCGAAAAAAAATATAGTATGAGTTATTGCCCTTGTTCTTGAAAACACGTTCAATTTTTAGCTCGTAAACACTCTAGAAGGCACAATTCTTTACAGATTTTGATGAAACATGGCATGAGTGTTTGTTATCACCCAAGGATGAACCCTATTGAAAATTAGAAGAATCGAAAAATATTAAGTATGAGTTACTGAAGGTTGAATATTTCATACTGGTGATTGTTACTGTACTGCCAAATATTTTTATTCAAAATCATAGCTGCCAATGGGCGTATATTACCTTTCCTGTCAAGCTATCTTCTGAAATAATTGTTGACCTCCCTTGTGTATCTGTCTGAGAGAAAACTAGAAAGAAAACAGACTTGAGCAGGTTCAAATTGTATTTTCTATCAATGCATAGTAATTGGTATGTGAGCTGCCTATCTATTTAAATTGAATGTAGATGACACAACATTATCATTGGTAGTCTTTCTTGATGAAAGTTGCAGGAATTTTTAATTCCAACAGCACGTTTTATTTTTTTTTGATTTTATCATCTGATTTTGCTCGATATTCAAAGGCTTTGATTACTGCTGCGCTTTTGTCTTATTTCAGACGTTATCTTTTGATTTGTAGTTTGGCCATTACAGATTCAATTCTTGTTTCAGATCCTTCAAAGAAAGGAAGGCAGCCATTTTCCTTGTTAAAATTGGTGAGTATTGATTTTATGGCATAGTTTTTTATACAACGACTTGGCATTTTACAACTGAAATTTAACCTCTAGATCCAAAGTTAAGCTGAATTCAATGTTTATATCTCAAACTTCTTTTCATTAGTTCGGATTTCTTTGTTAATCTAAATTGTAATGTTGAAGATGAGCATTTGAGATATCAAATATAGCTGGTAGCTGGTAGAAAGTACAGGTGACTAGGACTTAACTTATTTGTTTATTTACAGATGAAAGCAAGAAGTAAAGAATCATTATCACAATTAGAAGAAATTTTGGCGAAACTGAAACCTTCACAGTTTAAAGATAACCATTTAGCTGTATATAAGGTATTTATACTTCTATTCTGTGCCTATTCAGCCATTTCAATAACTTCCTAAAATTCATTATAAACAGTTTTTATTCACTGACCTTTGACTTTGACCATTTACACTCAAAAAAGTGAATTATATATAAATTCATAATTTTAGAAATTGGAACAAGTCTGGCCAGATTATGCCCAAGCAGTTCATTAGTCCATATTAGTTCCTCTTTCTCAATCTTTTATAAAAAAAAAAATTTTTTGTCACCCTCAGACATGTTTAAACAAATTTATAATCTGGAAGATATACTTATATGATTTCAAGGGTGATAATTACATTAAGCAGTAACCTTTAAAAATAAAGAATAATTCTATTATTATATGAAGTGTTAAATGTCTTGTGAATAATTATCAACTGACCTATGGTAATTGAAATGTGGTGAAGTCGGAAGTAAGAACAATGCTATCACTACTTAATCAATCACTTACTATTTCTCTAGAGGTTTTACTAGTGATTCCAATAACCTGAGGTTTGCATTTATCCTTGGAGGTACAGATTCTATGATTACATATTGACCTCTTTCAAGTAATTTCAGGAATAATTTTTCTTAAAATATCTCCAGAGAATTCAGTTTTGTTTATGTTGGTGAATGTTTGAAAAGGTCCATTCACAAAATTTTGTAATACTATGGTTTTGAAAAATATTCATTTACTGTTTATCACCAAATTTCACTCGTAGACACGACGAACAATTTGACTTTCACACAATACAGTATTTTATTATTATTCATCTGTTTTGTTAGAAATAAGATAGCCTATAATAAATACATGTAGATTATAAGATGTAATGTTTCAAGGTTGCATATTTATGAATAGCACCAGAGTAAAGCCACACTTTAATACAAGAGAAGAGGTTTGAAATTTTTAAATAAATTTTTATTTTGCAGAATTTACATTGGTCTGATTTAATAGCAAGTTCTGATAAACAACATCAACCTATACAGATATCTGATACAGAAAGAAAACGTCGAGAGGCTGTCTGGGAATTGTTTAAAAGTGAATGTGTCTTTTTAATAGATCATCTTATGGTGCTAAAACATGTAAGTTGCAATGTACTGCATGTAGGTCTAGTGCATATTATAAATTTTCTGTTAGGATCTTCAAAGGGAAGATGGTGCTATTTGTGATTCCAAAATTATATCCCACAGTACATTGTCAGGAAGTAGTCATTGTGAGGGGGTCAAAATTTCTAATCTATGAATGCATCTAATTTTATTTTGGCAGTGAAAGTAAATAACTTTTTTATTTTTTCTGTCACGAGGGCTGGACTGTGGCACCATGCCTCCACCCTAAATACGCCACTGTTTCTAGACTTTTCTGATTTCTGTTTAGCTGCTTCTTTCCAAGACCAAGATGTCTTAAAAACATATATGAGTTGAATTTAATATCATCTTAAACTGAAAGATTAATACATTATGTACAATAAAACTGTGACTTCTAACAGTGAACTAAACTCTTTAGATAAAGAGAGTAATAATAGTATCAATGGTTTCTGATTATTTTAGAGTTTTCTTGAGCCACTGAAGAAGGTTCAAGTTGAAGGGTTTTTGATGTATGCTGAACCACAAGATATATTTGGTAATTTAGATGAATTATGTTATGTAAGTATGGTATTTTGGTGCTTAACAGTCTCATTATAGTCAATTATACCTCAAATAAAATCTTAGCACATTTCTTGTTCATTTCTGAAGTGTGTTACAAAACCAGAGTAGGTCTACTTCCGAAGCTCATACATGTTCATTTTCCCAGTTTCATGTACTCTTCATTCTAAGCTTAGTTAAATTTGAATTGTTTTTTATACGCCCACATGAAATGGGGGGCGTATATTGCCGTCACCCATGTCTGTCCGTCGGTCCGTCCACAATTGCTCGTAAATTCAATTCTTGACGGATTTTGACAAAACTTGGTATGAGTGTTTGTAATCACCCAAGGATAAACCCTATTGAAAATCAGAAAAATCGAAAAATATTTAGTATGAGTTATTGCTCTTGTTCTTGAAAACGCTTTCAAATTTAGCTCTAAAACACTAAAAGGCATGATTGTAGCTGGATTTTTGATTTTGGTTTTCTTATTCAGTCCCGCACTGAAGATTGAATATTTGCCTTCCAGAGTGTTCACAAGCTAAAAATTGAACATGTTTTCAAGAACTAGTGCAATAACTCATACTCAATATTATTCAGTATCACCCTAAAGAATTCAATAGAAGTGTATGACTGAAGGTTGAATATTTCATACTGGTGATTGTTACTGTACTGCTAAATATTTTTATTCAAAATCAAAGCTGCCAGTGGGCGTATATTACCTTGCCTGGCAAGCTATCTTTCATTATAGATTGGAAAGTGTGAAAGGGGCATTTTAAACATACTCTTCATATTATATAACACTGAGGAGGTGTTTCACATGTTTCATTTTATCAAAACTTTCTTTATAATTGTGATTTAAGTCTTTCATTTTCTGTATTTTTCTAGGTTAGTTATACTTTTTGTAAAGACTTCCTATCAGCATTATTAAAAGATATGAGTTCAACAGAATTTTGTAGAACAAGAGTTTTAATCAAAGCATTTCAAAGAGTAAGTTTTATGACTATTTTGCTCCTGAAGAAATAACAAATATATCAGAATTTTTTGTTTCAAAGATAAAAAATTATTTTTGAAAAACGGCTTGCAGAAGAATAAATAAGATATACCCCAACTTGAGTATACTAAGGACATGATGTCATTATATTTGTACTTCTTTGATATAGGTATGTTTAATTATATTTTCAGTTTTCCACTCATTCTAAAGATGGAGCTGTTTACCATACCTATTGTCTCAACTATACCAATGCTTTATCTTATTTAGAAAAACTCAGTGTCTACCCTGAATTTGCAGAGTTTGCTAAGGTTGGTATTGTATGTAGAAGAATCTCTAATCACTTGCTAATAAACACATCCGGTATTTATCATGTGAACAAACGTCACCTTTTTTAACTAAGAGTACTGTACAAATGTTTTTGATAAGAACAGTGTTAATTGTATTCGTATTTATTAACATGTTTATTTGAATAAACGTCTTGGTAAACATTTTCAGAAAGTTCGGTACCAGAGAGATTACACCAAATGGCTTGAAATCAATATTGTGTCAAATATGTTGAAGATTGCCCATTTCGAAGTGTTATTTATTAAAGAATATACATAATTTATTGATTTCTGATACATGTATTTGATGTAAACATATTGTTTGTTTATTGTTTTCTAGTGGTGTGAACTAGATACAAGATGTAATAGATTACAACTAACTGATTTATTAGTAGCACCAATGCAACATTGTACTAAATTACCATTACTATTAAATAATATACGGAAATATACTGCTGATGAAACAGATAGACAACAACTGTCAGAGTCTATTAATAAAGTTGAAATGAGTTTGAGTAAGATTTGTTCAACTTATTTTGATGTTATGTATGGAAAACTTGTTTAAAATGAACAATTATAGTACAATTTAGATGTATATATATGAATACTATTGCTTCATGGTTTAAACGATGCAGGAAGGATATCCACTGTTAAGCTTAGTCATAAAATTTGTTATCAAAATGCAAATTTTTATACGCTCACATGAAATGGGGGCATATATTGTCGTCCGTCCGTCAACAATTGCTCGTAAACACTCTACAAGGCATAATTCTTGACTGATTTTGACGAAACTTGGTATGGTTGTTTGTAATCACCTAAGGATGAACCCTATTGAAAATTTAGTATGAGTTATTACCCTTGTTCTTAAAACGCCCGTAAACACTCTAGAAGGCCCAATTCTTGACAGATTTTGATGAAACTTGGTAATATTATTCAGTATCGCATCAAAAACTCAAAAAGAAGTGTATGTCTGAAGGTTAAATATTTCATACTGGTAATTGTTACTGTACTATCAAATATTTTATTTAAAATCAAAGCTGCCAGTGGACATATATTACCTTGCATGGCAAGCTATCTTCTGATAAAGGTGCAGGCACACAAACGATCATGGTTGGAGAATTTTGTCGCCGACTAGAGTCTTGTCAAGAAAATTAATTTGATTGGATGATGACGGTCTGTCTTGCAGACAATATAAAATATCAAGTATCAAACTTTTTTGATATTATAAATCCTGTCGGAGACGCGATAGTCTTGTTATGGATACACAGGCACAGGCCAGATTTTACTCGAGACTCTAATCGTCGACAGAAATCTCTGACCAAGACCACTTGTGTGCCCGTACCTTAAGACTTTATGAAAAGGAATGTCCTCTGATAGCAAAAGGGAATGGTCTATTTCCACTGCTTGAAAACAAGTATAGTGTTCTATGAAAGTTTAAAGAATTCATTGCTATTAATTTTGTAGAAAATTTAGAAGAGAAAATGAAATTTGTGAAGAATTTTGAAAGAGTACAAGAAATACAAAGACAGATAAGTTGGCCACAAGTTGGTGAACTAGACCCTAGATCATATATTCCTGAGGTTTGTATTTATTTTAGTTGAAGAACCTATATTTTGCCATCCCTGGGTAATTGTCTATTGCATTCGAAATTGTTTATTGTAGTGCATGAATTTGAATTCATTTGCAAAACATATCTATTTAGCTGATTACAAATGGTGAATTTGATCCACGTTTTTTACTTTACCATACTTACTTAAATGGCTGCTATTCTTGTCAATAGACAGATGCGTCAGAATGTAAATTAATTTTCTTAATTTATATTTAATTTCCTTGTAGTGTTTAAAAGGTACCATTAGTCGACAACCCTGTGAAAAACTACTGTCTTGTCCTAAGAGACAATTAATTTACGAAGGTCAACTTACATTAATAGGTATTATATCTAGCTTCATATTGTACATTATGGTCTCAAGCCAACAAGACAGAAAATTTAATGGTTAATTCCTGATCAAACAAGGAAGCTGGCTGTACCAAGCAATTTTAGAAGATAAATTATAAACAAGCCCACAGAGCATTTCACAGTTTTGAAGATCAATAGCATTATTCCATGCCAAGATATCACTGCCCCCTGCCCTATATAGGACCAAAAATTTGTATGAGTTTACATAGCATGCCAGTTCAGACGTAGGTTTTAGATCTTTTAATACATAATGAGGGTAAAAGAATTTTACTGCAGTGTAAATTTTACCTTGGTAAAACTGTTAAATTAGAAGTATCTTGCTTAACGGAGCAGAAATCTTTCTATATGAATGTCTGTCTGTCTAATTTTGTGCATGCAATAATGATATTTTATGTTTTACTTTCAGAACCTACAAAATCAGTTGATGTACATATGTTTTTATTCCATGATATTTTATTATTAACAAAGCCAAAGAAAGGTGCAAGAAAGGTCAGTTTACTTTTAATTGTCTTCAGGATGCTATGAGTAAGTGTTTCAACAAACATACCTAATCTAGTGGGTATGCTGTGAAAATTCCTTGACATGAAATTGTACTCAGCATGTCCATCTCAACAAGGCCATTACGAGACATACCACTCCATTCCATTTGCTAACCATTTGATCAACCTTGAGGATCAGTTGGTTTGAGAATAGACAACAGTGCTATCTATGTAATTATTGATTGAATTTAAAATGTCAGTGTAAAATATATCTGTTTTTAAGCCAGACTTTGTGCCATGATGCATCTCTTAGAACATAAATCATTTTCAGCTGGAAACGAACTGGAATGGAATAAAATAAAGTTTTTTTTCTTTTTACGCCTAGGATCCACAACGATTTATATTTTAAAGGAGATTTCAGTATTCATATATGTATGGACTAATGGTCGGACAAACAATTAATAGTAATGAGTGTGTGCAAGTGATCCAGGCTTCATAATTGGCCTATAATAGGGTTACATTCTGTATGTTTTTCAAATTCAATCTTAATTGTACTTTGACAATATTTTTTGCAGAAAGTGACAACATTAGAACCAGGAGCTAAGTCACCTAATCTAGGTTCTAGTTCCACAGATAAAACAATATATACTGTATATCGTCAACCTATAGCATTAGATAGATTTACATTACATGATATCTCTACAGTTGATGCTGCAGGTATAACTTCTTACATTCTTATTTTCAATTAGAATATGAATTAGGTTGAAAACTGTTATGAAACAGGATGCAAGAGAATATGAAAATTATGATGAAAACTTACTGACGTTTTAAAGATTATTATGAAGAAAACTGATTGGAATTTTTAGGATGTCATTCGAAACTAGTTCAATGTACTTAAAGGGAATATATCAAAATGACAGGAATTCGGAACAATTATTGACAGTTATATTTTCTGTTTTACAGCAAGTGGTTTAAAACATGCGTTTGTACTGGTACAGATTAGTAGATTTCAGCAAATAATAGGTGTATATACATTACAATCTTCTTGTGATTTAAATAAGGTTAGTAATGGTTATCATCATGAGTCACTAAAACACTTTAATATTGATTGACTTTTATGATCACTTTCAGGAGATTAACTTAGTTTTATCATTGATTGGTGTCAATGTAAAAGGGGTAGATGATTGATATAGTTATGCACATTTTTGTAGGGATAACTATCAACACTAACTGATGTCATTGAAAATCCAAGGAAGACGCTAAAATATATTGAAGAAATGATTTAAGCAATCAATATTTTGCCATCATTTAGATCATAACTTTTTTTTTGTGTGTTTATAGGCAACATGGGTTTCAAATATTAACGAAGCTAAGGATAAGTTTTGTGCAACATCAACTAGTCGTCAAAGTTCATTCAAAGAAAACAGAAATCCTAAAACTGAGGAAAAAGAAGTGAACATAGTGCGCTCACCTAGAAGGGTAAAACGAAACAGTGTGATGAGAAGGATTCATGGGAAGTCACGTTCTATGGATGCTGTATTTCTATGACAGTGATTTTTCTTGGACACCAAGTAAATCATGTCTTCTGGAATGGAGGGTGCACATCATTGTGGAACCAGGGACATAATCGCGCTAGAGACATTTTGGCTTCACTCGCTTATGGAATGTCTTTCCTTGATATCAAATTACGAAAGCTGTTTACATTCATAGATAGATAATGTTAATTATTTCTCAATTGAGTCTCAAACCAAATTGCTTTCAGAGTTTGTAGACAAGGTTTATATCACTGCTGTATAGGATGATAAGAAATGATATGAGATGTTGAATGAATTAGATTATGTTAATTAAAGACCAAGTCTTGTAACAGTTTGATTAAATCAGTTATTAACAAAAGAAAACTTGTTAACATATGATTAATTCCTTATTATGAGAATGGGTTTGATTTGGTTTAGAATCAGAGTTTCTGTTTATCATTTGACACAAATATGTATAAATTGCTAAATGGGTTGCTCAATGAATATACTGAATTTTGAATTAATTATTCATGCATCAACATCATGACACCTAGGTTTGCAAAAGTTTTATGTAATATCCAGATCGAATAAAATTTATATTTTTAATGCCAAATTATATTGTCATAAAGTATATACTCTTGATTTGATATATTAGAAGATATATGGTTCTGAAATAAGATTAGAGTAATAGATCTAGTCTAAGAAATAAGGGAGATCACACTAGTTTTCACCTAGTTTTAATGGTTTCCTGTGTTTTTATTGTAAAGCATTTTAATGTTAATCATTTTTTGTTTTCAATGGTATTGTACTTGACAGCCAGTCATATTTTTGTGAATTATAGCAAGCTTCTATTGGCTGGAAAGTTTTTTTGAGAGTTGATATGAATTATGAATCAAATTAAAAACCTAGATATTTGAAATCGTTTATCTACTAAATCCTGGCAAGAATGTCCAATTTCTTGGGCACAAGGAAGGGGTGTGCATTACACATGCTTGCTCACATATGTGGCCCATTATACTAGAGAAAGAATATTTGTTAGTTTGCAGTCTACACAGTTGTTATGTTATTGTTTTGATTTATTATGAGATTTTCTACTGAGCTGTGATACTATAATTACTTTTTTGTTTGTAAAATTGTTTTAAATGTAAGTAGATATGTTGTCAAAGGTTAAGGCCAGTACACAAGACACTGATCTCAATATAACAGGCTGTGATCAATTTTGATTATTGTTTCATAAGGAATTTTTTAGAGATTGTTTCTTATTGCTTTATTCTTCATAACAGAGAGTTTAGAAGATAATCTGTTGGCTTAATCTCATAAACGGATAGGTCAGAGGATATCCTGTTAGCTTAATATTCCATAATCAGACAGGTCAGAGAATATCCTGATGACTTTATATTTCATAAACAGATTGGTCAGAGAATATCCTGATGGCTTTATATTTCATAACAAACAAGTTAGAGGACATACTTTTGATTTTTTATGTCATAACAGACAGGTCAGAGGTTATATTGTTGGTAGTATATAGACAGATCAGAGGATATTCTTTGGCTTAATCCTAGATAACAAACAGGTCAGAGACTATCCTGTTGGCTTTATATTTCATAACAGACAGGTCAGGATATTCTGTTGGCTTTATGTTCATAACAGACAAGTCTGAGGGTATCCTCTTGGCTGTATGTATCATAACAGACAAGTCAGAGGGTATTAGTAATGTGTTGGTAGACAGATCAGAGGATACGCTGTTGGCTTTTTATTTCATAATAGAGAGACCAAAGGATATCTTGTTGTATTTATATTTCATGACAGACAGGTCAGTGAGGTCAGAGGTTATTCTGTTAGCTTTATATTTCATAACAGAAAGTAAGAATAATAATTGTGTTTAGATAGGACAAAAAATTAAAAGATGTGATGATGTAAAGTTGTTTTATTTTATTCATTTGTTTATTCATATTTTATCAGTTATCAGATTACATAGATATCATTTGAGTCTTATGGTAGTTATATCTCTATTACTCCAATTAAAATGTTCATATGTCCATTATTTACCTTTATATACCTGCTAAAGACACTATTTGACCTTTTAGGTGCCAAACCATTTGTCAATTTGTAAAATTTAGGTTTAGGGTGCAATAAGAATTCTTAAACTTTCAATAGGTACCATATCTTACCTATTCTATGCAGATTGAAATTTTTCTCTATGCAAACAGAAATTCTAACTGCCATTGATATTATTTCTTTAAAACTGTGTAATTAAAGCTTTCAGTTTCATTATTCATGCATTCCATTTAATGATAATTGCTTTGAATAGCCTTAAAGGAACTGTTAGGTATACTTTTATATACTAGGCACTGTAAGGTGCTGTTATCAAGTCCTTTGGAATATGTTAAATTTTTAAGAAAGTTGGATTTGTGATGCCAGATTCCTTAAACCTTGTATTGAAATAAAACAATTCCAAATTGGATCAATCTTTCATTAACAGTAAAATTAAGCTAAACAATCTTGCAAATCAAAATTAATTTCCCATAAAAAATCAAAAATATAACATGTTTTGTATTAGTTTGGTATTTATGTATATTTTGTCATGTAAATTTGTAATTAATTGAAATAATATATTTTTATTTTGTACATTTCATTTTGTATAGACATGATTTAGATAATGTAAACCACTGTTTAAATTCATTCATTCATCCTGTTATTCATCATAATATCAAAGTTATTATTAACAAATAAATATTCTTTAATATTATTCTCTTTTTCCTTTTCTTGTTTTGTTGAGTTTGCACCATTCCAGTTTTCAACTTGTGGTTCCAGCAATTCCACTAAAAATAAGTGTCTGATGATGTCACTTAATGTAAAATATGCTAATATCACATAAGGCCCTTTGCGATTAGTAACTTAGTTGTAGTGGAATTACTGGAACACACATCTGATTGAAAATTGGAATAGTGAAAATTGATGCTATCAGTGTCCCAGATACACTTATAGAATTTAAAAACCTCTCATATCCTTAATGAAATGTCTTAGCACATTCATTAGTTGTTATTTGCCAATAAGTTAAATTATTGAATTGTTAAAGTGTCTTTGAGTGGATTTACCTGCGCGATCAAAATTAACAGAAAATGTTTAGAAACTGGTGGAAAATATATAGATATTGATTAAAAATATTACCTCATCATTAAAGACATCTAGTTTTTGATTGTTGTAATAAGTAACACTGGTGTAGTTCGTAGTCGTATTTAGAGAAATTTCGTCAATCTCTATATATACGAAAATGGTGTAGTCCATAGAATGTAGCTGTGGTCTGATGTGATAAAATGCATTGTGTCCCTTTACTTACTTGATAAATGATTGGTAAAATCGTAATGATTCTGCAGATGACGGGCAAAGATATTCAGAAATATTTTTTGTGGTTATGAAATATTGAATGACTACAAGTCATACCATGTTATTTAGTCCCGATTAGTATTTCAAGCTCTTGTTTAAAGGAATGATACATTATGTTTTTACATTTATATAATTGGTTAAGTATGCTCAGTGTGCAAGGTACATAGTCAAGACTGTGTGAACTGAAAACATTTCTTTCTCGTAAAAGGTCAATTTTGCTCAGGACTGAAATTAACGTGAGCAGAATAAATAATACAGAGAAAAGATCAGACGAACTAATTTGACGCCACTCCGATTCTATGTTTGTTGTTCTACTGAATGAACAGGGGTTATTAGTCCGACATACGGTTAGTAAATCAGTTGAAATCTTACAAGTTCTTGACCAACAACGTCTCCATGTGCCGTTCCAATGGTTGATGGTCATTAGGGAAATATTAATTCTTGACCATCTGGAACACGGTTTACCTTTATTTAGGTGAAAGGTCATACGAATCATGTTCAAGTTGACTATTTAAATGAGAGTAAAATAAATTTATTCGTCTGATGAAGTTGGTCTTTGTTGTTTTGATAATTTATTCAATGACATACTTATAAGTTCAGATGTTAGCCATTGAGTTGAGATTTGAATCGATCCATAAATTTCAAAATGAGCCTTTCAAAGGGCAGGTTTAAGTTTGTGAACATTCCAGTATTGTTATCCGATACAGATCATTACATTTGTAATTCAATTTTAATGGTTTTTGGATTCTTTTCGATTTCATTGCAAATGTGTGTTTCATGGCGATCATGACCTCATAACATATACAAGAAAATTGTCAGTTTTTGGAGAAAAAACTTGAAGGACGAATAATATTTCGACGCGCTATTTCAATATATATTCATACTATCATAGTTGGTCTCAGCCGACAGTTTTGAGAGACAGGATATTTCGGTCTATTTGATTTCAACATTTCCAATAATATAGAAAGAAACGCGAAGATTTAGACTAAAAGAATTGTTGAAGGGGTAGTCAAATATCATTTCATTGTATAAGGTTCGTAACCTAGATCTGTATTATATTATGGTCCATGCAATCGAGTTTTACGAACAAAACAGAGTAAAACGACATGGTGATATTGTAACACCGCGATATCGTTGATTTAAACAATAAAAACAGGGGCAGTAAGTACTTCACCTTGAGTTATTCCACATTCATTTCCCACAAATTGTAGATATTTCCGTCTCAGCTAGACAATATACCATTCTACATATGGTCAAGATTTTGAACCAAGCGTATCATATTATTTTCGCCACATTATAGAAAGTAGAAGAAATAAGATTGGACTTTATAAATATTGATAAGTTTTACCACAATAATTTCCCCCTTTTAGATGGGCTGGTTTTCTTGTATTAAAAAAGTAACAACTTGTGTGTAACTTTGTTAGGATTTTGTAAATAATTTCAGAATGGACATCAATTGTAGTCCCAAAAAGATTTTCGAAATTTAAGTAAAATTACAATATTTGTCAAATAGTTTGAAGGAATGGATAAAAGGGCTACCTGCGATTGGAAATTGAAGCTTCATCTATACCCCACAGTAGTCAATAAGGTCCGCTATTACACTCATGGTTATACTTTTGGGTATTTTAATTGTACTTCATTGCCTTC